GCCTCCTCCAAGCGCCGCACGCCCAGAGCGCGGGCGGCCAATTCGCGGCGCTCCCGGGGCCGGCGCTCACTGTGCGCCATGCGCCCGGGGTCAGCTCCGGCACCATGCGTGCGCCACGTGCCCAGGGCCAGGCCAGCCCCGAGCACTTGGCGGGCACACACAAATGCCCCTGCGGGCGCCATGGCACCCGCAGGCACCGTGTTGGGGACCACTGCCCCAGAAGAAGGGAACACAACAGGTAATCATCACGTGATCCCTCTTCTGTCATCCATTTCCAGACAAACAGAGGCTAGGGACACTATTCCTACCCATCCTGGCTAATAGCCATTGATGGACCTAACTTCCATGAATCTATCTCACTCTTTTTTTAAACCATGTTAAAGTCTTAGTCTTCAGAATATCCTCTAGCAGGGAGTTCCACAGGTTGATTGTGTGCTGAGTGAAGAAAAACTTCCTTTTGTTTATTTTAAACCTTCTGCCTATTAAATTCATATGGTGACCCCTTAGTTCTTATATTGTGGGAATAAGTCAATAACTTTTCCTTATTCACTTTTTCCATACCAGTCATGATTTTATAGACCTCTATCATATCCCCCTTTAGTCTCCTCTTTTCTAAGCTGAAAAGTCCAAGTCTTTTTAATCTCTCTTCACATGGGACCCATTCCAAACCCCTCATCATTTTTGTTGCCCTTTTTGGAACCTTTTCCAATGCAAATACATATTTTTTTAGATGAGGCGACCACATCTGTATGCAATATTCAAGATGAGGGTGTACCATGGTTTTATAGAGAGGCAATAAGATATTTTCTGTCTTATTCTCTATCCCTTTTTTAATCTTTCCTAACATTCTATTTCTTTTTTTGACTGCTGCTGCACACCATGTAGATGTTTTCAGAGAACTATCCACAGTGACTCCAAGATCTCTCTCGAGTAGTTGTAGCTAAATTAGTCCCCATCATATTGTATGTATAATTAGGATTATTTTTTCCAGTGTGTATTACTTTACATTTATCTACATTAAATTTCATTTGCCATTTTGTTGCCCAATCATTTAGTTTGGTGAGATCTTTTTGAAGCTCTTCACAGTCTGCTTTGGTCTTAGCTATCTTGAGGAGTTTGGAGCACTTTGAAGTCATTGGGACAGCTCCCATGCATAAAGTTGAGCAGATATTTAAATGTTTGCAGGATTGGGACCTTAGGGCATGATCCTGAATAGAGCCCCACAACCCAGCCAGAACCTACCAGTGTCTGGCTTAGGTCTGGTCATCTCTGATCACCTTACTGCCAGTGGACTTTGTGCATTGACTACTGCATGCCCCATTTCTGCTGGCTACCTGTTCTCTGTGCTGCGTATGCTGCAGCGCCTGCATGCTGACAAGTCACAGCCCCTCTCATGCTGCAGGAGCTTACCAAAGATGGCACCCAACATAGGGAGTGGGAAACCCCCACCAGACCAAACCTCAAGGAGGAGGCAGCACTTACACAAGTTCAGGGTGAAATGTTGGGAATGGTTTGCATCAGTCTGAAAACCACTTGACACTTTTAGGCTGTCCTCAGCTCAAATTCTATCCTGGTCTGGCTTTAAAATTAGGCCTGAGAATACCTGCATCTGCATTTCTTTAATCTCATACATAGGTTTTGCAGGATCACTAAGTAGCACAATGGGTCCCTGATTCTCATTGGGGCACTGCCGTAAATAAGTACTTCTTTACTTATTACCATAAATAAATACTTAATAGTATAACAACAGTAACTCTAATGGCTTTCTGATTTAAAACAAATCCAGAAACAGAAGAAACGCTGTTATTTCTCAACACTTAGCCATAGAAGATGTAGAAGATTTATTTCCTATATGTGTAAAGCAACTAAGTAGAAGAGTTAGCCTGTCATTCGTATTTTATAAATCATGTTGCATTGATCAGAAGGTATGTAATGGATTGATATTTTAAGGCATCATTTATTTTTAAAACAATGTTAGGTGAAGTGTTTTATTTTCCAGCAGGAAACATAGTACAGTACTATTGACTTTCGCTGAAGAAATGTGAAAGGTTTTCAGTGGTGAAATGTGATTTGTAGGAGGCATCTTCAGTTATGCTCCGTAAGAGTAGCTACTCATATAGAGGGGGCTGGTCTTTTTTATATTGATGAACTTCTGCTACCCGGGAAAGAGACAAATTGCATTTACAGTAAAGATATCTGTCACGAGCTGCTGCATGGAATTGCTGTCAGCAAGTACAAAACAAATGCTCTGTTTCGCAAGTTCTTCGTGCACAGATCTCATTGAATTCATGGCAATTCTTGATGTGGAGGGTTCGCAAGCTTGAGCTCAGGAATTTCAGGAAATGATACAAAGAGCTATACAGGAGCTACAGAGAAACTCAATGACTCTTCACTCCATTTAGTACATTCCTTGCAGTTCCAGTTTCAAGGCAACTAGAGCAATCATAAAAGCTGAGCAAAGACAGTGTAATTTTCTGCAGATGCTCTGGCTCTTGCTTATTTTGTGAATCAGTGTAGCTGTGTACTAGCTGCTCTACACACTAGAAGAAAAGATACCTTTCTTAGAGCGCTTGCAATCTACAATCTACTCTTCCATGCTTCTGGATGTAGGGTGGTATTCATAAAGGTGCTTAGGTGGGATTTAGGCACTTAATATGGATGAGAATCCCACCCTGAATGTTTACTACTCAGGTGGGCTACTCATAAAAGTAGGAAATAATTACATCTTGTAGTAAACATTTGCCTGATGAGGCCATAGCTAAGCATGAGGAATGGAGAATGGAATAGGGGACGGTGGTGGGCACCCAGTGGCCCATTGGGGTTCTCTGTGGGGCCTGTGAGACATCTTGTTTACTGTTGTCCACATGCAGGGCTGCCAGATTCTGCTGGTTTCCATCCATGTAGTTTTCTTCTAGTGCTATTACTGAAGGGAGATGCACGTAAAGCCAGGGCCCATGAAGTGAAGTGCGTGGTGATTGCACATAGCATTGCCTGTCAGAGCCAGGTGCTCCCTCTGCAGCCAATCACAGCGCTGCTGCGGTGACAAGTGCAGTTAGCAAAACTATCCTAGCCTGGGAAACCAGCTTGGTAACAACAATTTTGCAGCCTACTGAGATGAAGGAGGGGCACCATTGCTGTATGACAAGAAGCAGAGCAAACTGCCAGTGCGGTATAGCATATATTCCATTCCTCATTTTTGTTAGTGTTTCTGATATTGCAGGAATGGAGAGTGGAAATGTCCTCTCTCTTAGTTAATTGCCAACTCTGGCAGGTGAGGAAACATTCTTAGATAACTTTTTTACGGACAGCCAGACTTTGAATTTGGTTGCTCAACAAGGAAATTGATTTGTTGAATATTTTTTTATTTTGGGGGAGGCTTCTCAGAAAAGGAGTTTCTGTTTAAAAATATATTTGTTTGTGTGTGTTTGTTCTGCCCTTTGCTCCCTCAAGGACATGCTGCTGAACTGGACTGTGGTTTTAAAACATCAGATGAGTTGTGTGACTAGTCAGAGAATACCTGTATAATGGGCTGCTGCGTACACTCGCCTCAGAGTGCTGCTGTCGTGGGCATACCAGAGTGAGCCAGAGGAGACATTTTATAACAGGGTGGACAAGCCAGGCTGCTCCTGCTGTGGGGTGGCAGTTGGAACTCAAGCAAGGCAGGAGCCTTGTTTATGATCTCAGTCTGAGACAGTCTGCACACCTGGGATTTTCATGTGCAGGAAGGCACACTCCTGGGCAGCATGTGATTCATCTTCCTCTCTCCAAATACCTTTGGATTGCCCCACTCTAGTGGAGAAAAGAATTTTCTGAGCTCAGAATTAAGAGCTAATGGAAGACTCTGTATCCAGTGCTAGAGACTCTCACAGTTTGATGCGACTCTCTAATGCTAGAACTCTGGCAGTCCCAAATGGCTTATTTCCATACATCTTTCTACAGCTCATCTGCATTGTACAGTGCAGTCCTAAGCCATGACTAGGGCTCCTAAGCACGCTAATACAAATCATTTATAGTATCTTTGTCACAAGCTACAGTTCCCATTAAGCTCCACACAAGGACTCAGGGCTGCCTCTCCCCAAGTTCCAAAGCTTCCACAACTGGCGGGGGGGAGTGCCCCTTTTACCATCCCCAGCACGGGCTGGTGGGAAGCGACCAGCCCAGCAGGTCTGGCTCCTAGACGGGGGGACCACGGGCAGGAGCAGAGTATGTGGAGCGCCGTGGAGCCTCACGCTCCACTCCCAGAATACCTGCTGACTGCTTTTGGGGGCACAACACTGTGCCTCAGGACAGGCAGGCACCAGGCAGCATGCCTTAGTGCTGCTGCCAAGGTAAGGGCGAGCCCCAAGCTCCGGCCCCACTCTGAGGCCCCTCTAACCCGGAACCACCTCCTGCACTCCAGGCCCTTCCTCGTTGGCCTCACCCTGAAGCGACCCCCAGTCTAGAGCCTGTGTCTCCCTCCTGGACCCCAAACTTCTCATCCTCAGCTCTACCCCAGAGCCCTCATATTTCTGCACCCCAGTCCTCTGCCCCAGGCCTGAGCTGCCCTCACACTCAGAGCCCCTCAGCCCCACTCCCGCCACAAAGAATTTTGTTACGTACTTGGATATGGAAGCGATGTGTCCCACGCCACCTCCACACTGACGGACATGGCAGAACTCATTCCAGGGAACACTGGTTAAAAGGCTGAGCCTTGTGATGGATGGAGGAATGCATTTCCGACACATCTTGCTGTCAATCACAGCTTTGGGTGCCACTGCTGTGAAGAGTTTTCAGTTGCAGTGTATGATTTGTAAGTGTCACAAACTTCCCACCTAAACTCCCTGGCCAGGAATAATTCGCCCTCACAAGCCATTTTGCCTCTCTCTTGTATTTGTGCTGAGTGTTTCGCTAAGGTACCTGGCTGGTGCACAGAGTTGCTGTATGTGAATCATTTTCAAGGAAATGGAAAGGGAGAGTTGGTATGACAGGAAACTCACCACATTGCCAATACCCAGCAATGAGCTGGCCTTGGAATTCACTTGCAAGAACTTAAATGATAAAATCTTGACCATCCCCTCCCCCACACTGCTTATTGGTACCGAGGAAGTGGGCAGAGGGACACGGGGTGTGAGGAACAAAAGATGTGCCTGGTTAAAATAAGTGACTCTCCGAAGCGATGAGAGAAAAAAGCTTGGCCAGTGCAGACAGTCACCAACTGCCGTAGCATAGGCAGTGACCTTCGGTGAGCAGTATGCCTTGTGGGCCAGACGTCTCCCTTAGGTCAACCCATTTACAACTGCTGAGGAGCAGTCCTCAGACCCCGTTGCCTGCCAGTCCCCTTAGTCACCTCCGTGACTCACGGAGCCCAGGCTTACGTTCTCTAGTAGTCACAGATGCAGCAGAAGTGGGTGGGCTGCAGCTCACCGCTCTCAGGTTGCCTCCCTTTGCATCTGAATGACCTGGCTCTTTGGCCACGGCCGAATTGCGGGGAGGCGCGCTGTTCTGCAGAGAGGGGCATGGGGTGGGGGCTCTTGCAGCCTTGTTGTCTGACTGTGTTCAATGCCCCCGCAGGGATTTTTCACTGATGGCCATGGAGCTTTCTGCCAGCGAGCTCAGCATTTATGACAAGCTGTCGGACACCATTGACCTAGTGAGGCAGACTGGGCACCAGTGTGGGATGTCTGAGAGAGCCATTGAGAAGTTTGTCAAGCAGCTTTTGGAAAAAAACGAGCCCCCCCCGGGCCCTCCCCGCTACCCCTTCTTGCTGACTGTCTACAAGGTAAACCACCATTTTGACCTGCAGGGGTGGGAGATGCTGATACTTAAACCTACGTGCTTTTGGAAAGTTTGCCTTTTATGGCTTGTATTTCCCCAGGGTTACAGTATAAAGGCACAGCAGCAAATTATCCCAATGGAAAGGAAAGACAGGAAGAGGCCAGTGTGGCTCCATCAGGAGCTCTCTAATGACCTAAAAATCAAAGAAGTATCCTACAAAAAGTGGGAGTGTGGACAAATGGCTATGGAAGAAAAGCACAAGCCCATAGGGACAAAATCAGAGAGGCTGTGGCGTAACATGAGGCAGTAAGAAGAGGTTCCACACATGTGAGAAGCAAGAGAAGGACAAAGGGAAGTGTAGGTTCTCTATTAGTGCATGACATCAAGAAGGCTGATAAGTTTAATACCTATTTTGCTTCAGTCTTTACTAAGAAGGTGAATTGTGATCAGATACTTTGCAAGTAATATTCACAACAGGGGGGAAGGAACAGGCAATTGAATACTTAGATATGTTGTACGTATTCAAGTTGTTAGGGGCTGATGAAATGTATCTGAGGATATTTATGGACTAGTTTAAGCAATCACAGAACCATTAGCCATTATCTTTGACAATCAGTGGGAGTTGGGTGAGGTCTAAGAGGCGTGAAGAAGGGAAAACACTGTTTTCATCTTTAAAAAGGGGAGCGAAAAGGACCCAGGGAATTATCACTTAGTCAGCATAACACCAATATAAGGAAAGATACTGGAATACACAATATCTTAATCAATTGTAAACACCTAGAGCAGTGATGGGTGACACGCAGGCTGCATGTGGCCCATCGGGATTCTGTGTGTGGCCTGCAAAACATTGTATACGGTTGCCCACGCTCACGGTTGCTAGATTCTGCTGGTTTCCAACTGTCATTTTTTTCCTAATGATTTTACTAAAGTGACACACGTGTAAAGCCAGGGTATATGAAGTGAGGGGAGTGCTAATTGCACACAATACTAACTGAAAGCTGGGCACTCCCACTGCAGCCAATCAAAGCACGGCTACGGTTCAACCGGCACATGCCACAAATTCTATTTACGCCAGCTGAGTTAGTAAAACTACCCTGTCCTGGGAAACTGTCTTGATTCCGACAATCTTGCAGCCCACTGAGATGAAGGAGGCCGCTCATGCAGCCCACTCACTGACTGAGAGGCTGATAGCGTCCTGTGTAATAGCTAACATGGATTTATTAAGAACAACATAATTTCCACCTTTGACAGGGTTATTGGTCTAATGGGTAAGGGTTAAGGCTTTTGACTCAGATATGATTTTCTGGTAAACAGGGAAAATTGATCTAGATTAAATTACAATAAACTGGGTGCAAACTGGTTGAAAGACTGCATTCAAAGAGTAGTGATCAATGATTTGTTGTCAGTCTGTGGGAACGTATTTAGTGGGGTCGGCAGAGTCCTGTCTTTGGTCCAGTATTAGTCAGTATTTGCATACATGACCCGAATTAGGTTATGAGCTGGAGTAGAGAGCATCCTTATCAGACGTCTGGATGATGCAAACCTGAAAGCGCTGCAAGCTCATTACAAGCACATCTAAATAACGTTACATTGGAGAATCGGTGAAATTCAATAGAGACCAGTGCAAAGTACGTCACTGATTAAGGAAAAGTCAGATACTCAGCTACACAATGGAGAATGGCTGGCTAGGTGACAATACAGCTGAAAAGGATCTGGGAGTTACAGGGGATCACAAAGTGAATAGGAGTCAGGTGGGTGGTGCAGTTGTGTAAAAGGCTAGTATCTTGCAGTATAGTTACAGAGTACCATATGTAGGACACAAGGGATAATTGTCCTGTTCTACTTGACACTGCTGAAGCCTGATCTTGGAACCCTATGTCAAGGGGCAGAATCTAGAATTAAAGAAAGATGTGGACAATTGGAGAGAGTCTTTTGGAGAGCAACAAACATGCTACAAAGTTTAGAAAACTGATTTACTTGAAAAGATTAAAAACTGGGTGTTTTTATTTTTGAGCAAAGAAGAGTGAGAGGGTGGACCCGACAACAGTCGTCAAATATGTCATAGGCTGTCAGTAAGAGGAAGGTCACCAATTGTTTGCCATATTTGCAGAAGGTAGAACAAGAAGTAATGGACTTCATCAGTAGCAAGGGGGCTTTAGGTTCGCCATTAGGAAATGTTTTCTAACTATAAGGATAGTTAATCTCTGAAATAGGATTTCAAGGGAGGTTGTGGAATCTCCTTCATTGGTGGTTGTAGATTAGACAAAAGTCTGATGCAGTGGTCAAGGTTACTTGGTACTGCCTTGGTGCAGGGGGCTGGCCTATATGACCTTGTGTAGCCTCTTCCAACCTAACGTTTCTATGATTTTCTGGTGGAGTCTGTCTGATTTTGCTAGAACTAGCCATGTTCATAGCCCTGCATTCATTCTCCAGTGAGATTGAGGAAGAAGATGCGTTGACTGAGCTTTGGAACTGTCCTAGTAAGTCGATAGATGAGTGTGTAGGCAACTCCCTCTTTATAAAGAATGCAGCTGTGCCTCTGAGCTAATGAAGACTCATCACGCCAGCACTCTGAGTAGAAACGTGTGTTCCCTAGCCTGATTGCTATAGAGGAAGGCTGGTCTCGTGGTTAAAACTCAGGGTGGGGACTGAGGAGATCTGGGTTGTACTCCTGGCTCTGCCCCAATCTCCGCATTGACTTGCACCTGTATGCATCTGGTTCCCCATCTCTAAGATGGGGATGCATGCCTCGAGGATCTAATGCTGGGGGATGCTTTGAGATTCTTGGCCAGGAAGTGCAAAAGTAGGGTTTTTACTGGGGAGGGTGGAGGGTAGAGGAGACAGTGTCATCTAGGGGGTGGTGACGTATTTGCTACAATGATGGGACATTTCCGATGGGACTACAGGATATGCGGTTACTGTCCTCTTCAGCTCTCCCTTGGAGGGAAGGGGTCTGCCAAAGTGGTTCTTTGATGAGTTTTTAGGCAGCTGAGGAGCCCTCTTCTATAACTCACTCGGAAGCATTTTATGCCAACAGAAGAAGTCCAGTTTTGTCATTCCTAAGACTACACAAATGCTGCGTAGTGAGACGGAGGGCTGTTCCGATTTTATCCCTGGTTCTTCTGCCGACTCTGTAATTTCTTTGAGGCTTATTTTGACCATTTGCACTGGTGAAGTAACCTCCAGAGTGTTGTGAGGCTTGGTTGATGCTTGCAAAGCACTTTCAAATGCTTGTAGAAAAGGGGTTTCAAAATATCTGATGAAAGAGTAGGAGTCTAGAATTGTTCATGGAGATCTCTGGCCTTTCTGTGGGGGAATATCAGTACTTAAGTGTTTAAAAAGCAACCCTGTCTGCAGATGTTTAAACCCTAATTATCATCATTCACGTACAGCTCCAGTCAACAAAACTGAATGAGAAGTCTACACCTGTGTGACCAGTATTGCTGTCTGGCCTTTTCTGTCTGCCGTGGGCAGTCAACCTAGTTACACAACTTCAGCTATGCGAAGAGCAGCTGAAGTTGGCATTCTTAAGAACGGTCAGACCAAAGGTCCATCCTGCCCAGGGCCCTGTCTGCCCACAGTGGCCAATGCCAGGTGCCCCAGAGGGAGGGATCACAATAGGGAATCCTCATGTGATCCCTTCCCTGTCACCCACCTCCAGAGAAACTTAGGTGAGTCAACACCTGAGGCTCTCCCATCAACTCCTCTTACTCCTCTCATTTTGGTGGAGTACCGGAACTGATGGGACAGCACCCGGAGGTTGATTTATTGCATCTATACTAGAGGTGATCAGTCGATCTCCGCTTGATCGATTGCTGCCCATGGATCCAGCGGGTAGTGAAGATGCACACTAAGTGAGGTGTCTTGGCAGAAGTGAACCCCTCAGACCTGGGCGGAGAGATGTCTGCTTCTTGCCGTGTAATTAATCACATGCCTGTCTTCTCTCACAGGGCCTGCTTACCCTGGGGTTGATTTTGCTAACTGCATATTTCGTGATGCAGCCACATAGCTCTTCGCCACCTGAAACCACGCTCTCCAGGGCCCACGCCTGGGGCTTCCTCGTCGGTCACATCCGGCTGCTCTCTTTGCCCATTGCCAAGAAGTACATGCTGGAGAGTAAGAAAACAATTTCTTTGCTGTTGTGTGACATGTATCGAGGCAGGGAAGACCACCCTGTGTTGAATTGTAACGCCACACCCCAGCTGAGTGTTTGGCCTTCCATCAAACCAGTACCATTTTACAGTGGTGGTGCCAGTCTTGTTTCTGGCACCATATTTACACACAGTTTGTTTTATCAGTAGACAGAACATGAAGTTAGCCTGAATCAGATTCCCACAAGCAATTTCCAGGATATAAATCTGGACTAGGCTGTACCTTTTCTCTCTCTTTTTATATCAGTCCCTTCCTGTAGCTTCTCATCTAGTACAGAAGGCCCTGGCAGAGAAGTTTGCTTTCCTGCTCCCAGAATGAAAAACCAGTTAAGTGGCTCAGTCAGGTGCTCAGATTTTGCAGTGATAGAAGTACAGGAAGGGCCTTGAGAGGTAGATTTCCCTGTAAAAGCCGCCTCTTGGTTCTCGGGTAAGCAAGTGGAAGTAGCATTGTAAATCCTGGTGTTTATGAATAGAGGACTGAAACTCTAGCCTGCAATTCTGATCCCTTTAGTGTGTGCACCTAGAACGTCCAGGGAAGTCAATGAGTTCAATGCATGAGGCAGCTAAAGCACTGAATCCCTGAGTGGGCGTGCCAGTGTCACGGCGATGCACGCAGTGTAAATGCCTGAATAGACATAGTAGGAAGGGAAACGTGTGGGCTGACTTCTTGTTTCCATTCTAAGTCAGTTTTTACCAACCCCGTGGAGCTATAGGTGGGCAGTAGTGTAGGGTCCTGAGGCAGTATTGATGTATCCTTCCTCCAGGCTCCAGGAAGGTCAGTAACGTTTTCAGTTCTTCTAGCTGAGGCAGGAGCATGATAGTGATTATTTTGCAGCCCATAATAAAGCAAAGGCTCAAGGCCTTGCCCTGAGTTGATTTATATTTAGCTTATGTTTAGTCCATTGTGTCAGAGTTCTATTATTTGGCTTTGAACTTCCTGCATCAGCCGTCTGAAATGCCAGCCTGGTTCTGCCTTTTCTCTGAGTGTCTCTCTTTTCCGTCGGCACATATGTTGGGAGGGCCATGTGGGTGGGGCAGGGTGTGACGGCGCGTTGGGGGTCCCCCGTCTCCTGCACCCCGAAATGGCACAAACAGACTGCCCCAGCCGGGGGATTAGAGGAAGTTTATTGCCTCTCCAGGTTACAGCACAGCACAGATGTAGTCTGGTCACAGAGCTGGGCTAGGATGCCTCAGGCCCCCTTGAGATGGGGGAGACTGGGCCCCTAAACTCCAGCTCCTCTCCCTAGGCTGTCTCCTCCATGCTTCCAGCCAGCCACTAACCAACTCTCTTCCAGCCCTGCCCCCCAGCCAGGGCAGCATTCCACCTTCCTTTGTTCCTCTCCATGGGGGGTGTCTGGCCATACTGGTTTGCATAGTGACTCATCCTGTTTTGCTGGGTCGTGGTACCCCCGGCAGCCAGTGGGGGTTCCCCCAGAGCCAGCAGCATAGAACCCAGCCAGGTACCCCCACTACGTCACACAGGGTATCCCCCATTGTTTATTTCCTGGCTGGCATATCGGGATTTAGTGGACAAAAAAATCTTTCCGAGGTTGGGGAGAGGCCTCTGACTCCAAGCTGATACTGATAGCCTGCTTATCTAACTCTCCCTAAGTATACTTGCAAAAATGTCCTTGGTGCCGATACAATGGGTCTCAGCTTCTCTGCTGGAAAGAGGAACTCAGCAGATGGTTCTAGGCTTTTAATTTTTGTAGCATGAATGAGCTAATAAAATGCTGTAAACACTTTCAGATGCTGCAGTTTGTATGTACCCGGTTGTCTTGAGTGGGGAACGGTCAGCAAGGTTTCCTGGCACTGTGAGAAATATCCAGGAAAGAGGCAAAGGCCCAGTTCAGCTTCTGTTTTTCCTCTTTGAGTGTGGAGGGAGCTGGATCTGCCTGGGGCAAACGGTAGGAGGTGGGAGCTGATAAACTGGGAGAAGGAACTGTTACAATGTTTCAAGTCCCATAACTTTGCATGGATCTCAGATGTATTCTAGGTGCGCAGATGTGAGGGGGAGAAGATGAAGGAGTCGCAGATCACCCTCCCAGGCTTTGCTGATCACGTTCTGTGGGGCCGTTCATTTTGGTGGGTGTGGTACCTGTAGCATGCAGATTCGAGCTCTGCAAGGCAGGTGTAGTGTCTCTGCCCATTTCCGGAAGAGGGATATCATCTCATTGGTGCCGTCCCTTCGGAGAGGAATCTGTCTCCAGGGTGGCTGATGTGGCATATGCAAGCAAGGCTGTTACCCGCACAAATGTCTTTATCCCTTCCACACTGTAGGGACACACAGCTTTACCCAGTTCCTAGGGCTCAAGGTGCAACTCTGTGAATTTACACACCCACCCTCACCCAATTCCTAGGGCTCAGGGTGTAACAACCCGCGGGTTGGCAGGATCTTTAGCCACTGAAAGAGCCTCACACGGTAATGTCCTTATCCTCTATGTATTGACAATTCCCAAACTAGCAGAATGCACATGCTAAGCGCACAGTGTCATGCTCACCAATCCTGATAAAGGCAGGCAGGCTTCCCCTGGTGGCCAGGCAATATCAGTCTCTCTGGTCTTAGGCTGTATCTCAGAAGTGAGTTCTTCTTTCCAGGTGTTCTCCCTCTTCCTGGTCCTCTTCCAGCCTTTCCTTCCTTCTGTTACTCCTGATGATCTTCCCCCTTCTCCTTCTTGAACCCCAGTTTATATCATGAAACCTGAGTCTTGCTTAGCTAGACCGTAACCAATTACTTTAGTATAATTTTACTAACCAATCATAACAAAATTACCTAACCAATCATACCCCACCACCTTAATTGATTTACACCTAGCAAAATTAATTATCCAGCAGACAGAAACAGTTACAAACCAGACAGAGATCACACAGTCAAACAACAGGAAAGTGTAGTGACAATGCTCATAGGATGAGGATTCCACAACATCCTCTATGGATAAGCAGCTTCTTGCCAGACAGAATGGTGTTACGCACAAATTTCTTTAGCCATCTTGAGATCTGTTTCTTTATCTGGTGACAGTGGGGGAACGATCAGGGCAAAGTCCCCTCCTCACAACCTGGTGTAACACTTTGTAATACAATTTAGATGGAACTGTGAGGATGTGACTCCAGGCCTTACAGGAATGGCTGCTACTCTTCAGTCTGGCTGCAGAAGGCGGCTTTGGTTCAGGCCTAGCACAGCCTTCCAGCATGGCTACAGAAAAGCCAGATTGTTACAAGGCTGGAGGTCAGAGGTTTCGGAGTGCTGCAGTGTCATTGGGGCCACATAAGAACTAGTGCAGAGACACCGAAACAAGGGAGAGTTTGGGAGGTAAAGAAGGAATTGAGGCAGTAGCTGGTGTCCGTGTCCGACTGGGGGGGGAGTCCACCCTTAGCCGATCAGTGCTGCAGACCATTCCAGCCTGGCAAAAGGGAAAATCCAGCTGATTTGCCCTCCCAGTGGTTCTGTTGGAAGTGTAGTTCCCAGCTTGCTTAGTCACTGCTGCTACGGTTTCCACACAGGACAGAAGATAAATGGGAGGGAAGGCTGCACCTGGACAATTAAAACACTTTAATGACTATGGTTTGACCAAGAGGAAACCAGCTTAAGTGCCTAAATGTTCTGCCAGTGAGCTCTGTGGAAGAGCCAAGTGTCTGGAATGAGTCTGAGAGTTCAGTGGGGCCTCTCTTAACTCGCTCTCCATGCGCCCCACTTGACTTGGGAACAGCTCAGAGGGCCATCAGGAGAGGAAATAGCGGCTGCAAGTATTAGAAGGCACTGAGGGAGAGGAGTCAGTAGCATGTGTAATTTGGACCAGTGAGACTGGAGATGGGAAACAGGCTGAATGTCAGGAGTATTACATTCAGATCGATAGACTGGAATAGCCTCCCTGCCAAGCAAAAGAACTGACGCCATGGTCATTTAAAAATGGGTAACATGCTAGAACATGCATTGCAAGGACCTTGCCTGGCCAAGGAGGAAGGAAAGTGGCATAGTTAATCTGGGTTCAAACCTGGCTATGCCGTCTCCCTTTGTGACCTTGGGCAAGTCACTTATCTTTCTGGGTCTCAGTTTTCCCACACCGCTCTCTCCTGGCTGCGCTCCACTTCACTATGGGAGTGGGAAGGAGAGCGCCTCAGACCCTCTGCTCCCCGCCACCGTGGGGAAACGGGGTGCAGCAGGCTGGGTGGGCAGAGCAGGCTGTGAATGTGGCAGGGAGTTGCCCTGGACCTGCACCCCACTAAGGAGGTCCCTGTCTGGAGATGCTTGGTGTTTCTGAAAATCAGGCCCAAGACGCTGGGCAGGCAAAACCTGGAACACGTAAGCTCAGAGGCTGCAGGTGGAAACGTTAGCCCATGTGACTCGCAGCAGACAACAGGGGAGTACGGGTTTGAGGTGAGATTAGAATGTGGGGGTTCCTGGATCCTTTGCTCAGATCACCTAGATCAGGGGTCTGAAAAGGTGTTAGAATAGCTGGAGTGGAACCAATCCGGCACTAGCCTGGCCCCACCAGAGTGTAACTGAAGTGTAGTTGTACATTACACAGCTCCCCTGAGGTGCATTTGAGAGCTAAGTGGTGAGAGATCAGAGGGAGTGGTTACCTAGCCCTGAACAGCAGGGAGAAAGTAGAACAGTAATCTTTGTCTTTTGGCTGGCCACCTTCAGTTTCACTTGGGGCTTCTTTGGCTCCTATCCAGGTTCCAGCTTCTCTGTGCACTTCACCCTTCCCAGAGCAGCCTTTGCTGGGCTGGCCACACACACGTCTGTCTGGCTCTGATTAGCATTTGAGCACCTCTCAATCTTTAACGTATTTATCCTCACAGCTCTCTGTGAGCTAGGACAGTGCTGCGCTTGACCCATTTTACAGATGGAAGATTGAGGCGTCGAGGGTATATTAGTACTACAGGGTTACAGCTGCATCACGGCCCTATAGTGTAGAGTTGTAGACAATTGACGCAGCAACAAAAGGGGATTTTCTGTGAATT